ACGATTTCGTCGAATAATGAAGTTGAACCCTTTCGCAAATTTTTTAATGTTCCCAACAGCTGAAGATACTTAACCGTCTTTCAACCTTGCAAGTTGCAAGAGTATAAAATGTGCGGTTACACCCGAACTTAGCCCTACCTTACTTATTTTTTTCTTTATATTTCATTTGAGGAAGCCATAACCTCTTTAAGCAAAGCTCCATTGCTGTTGAAGTGCTGCGGCGACATTGGCTATTGAACGTGTCAGTCGAGGAATGAATCTGCAATTTAATCGAAAATAACTAACGAAATGAGGCATGCCACTGAAAGCATATATGTATACCTATATATATAGCAATAATTAAAACTCATATTGCCGTAATTTCGAAATAATTAAGAGGAGTCTAACATCAGCTGTTAATACGCGAGGGAGACGATATCTTCGGCCGGCTTGAACGTTATTGCCGATTAAGGTAAAATTAAATGAATTAATAATCTTTCCAATGTTGATCGGTCCCTACTAAGGCCTGTAACCGGGATAACCTATATTTTACATATGGCTCCTTTTTTGTGATTTTGTGATACATTAAAGCAACTGATTTTTGAACTTTCAATACTTAATAAAGTGAATTAAACCTATTAGCTCCCAATTAATAAATGTTTATTATCATTTTCAACTGAAAACTAATATTACGAAGCATGATATTATAAAATATTTCAACACATACATTTCAATTTCGCGTTTTCTTTAATTTTCATTGTTTTCCAATTTTTGTTAGTGAAGTTGAACAGCGGTACGATTTCAATCTGACCGTCCCCCTTTTTCCAATAACGAAACGTCAAAACCGCCTGAACTCAACTCGACTATCAAAGTTCAGAAGGTGAGTTACGCTCTCACTTCCAATGACATGAGAGTTTGGATCGGTTAGTTTTAGTTTAAGATTGTCTTGGCGCAAACGCAGCAGAAAAATTCCTGAAGGCCCGTTGGACAATGTCGATGTCAGCTCGGGTCAGGAGGATGCGGAGCAACCCTGCTCCTTGGATTTTCTTGTCTGCAAAAGTCGCCTTGAAGCCAGTTTCATGAACATTTTGAAGACGACAGGAACATATCAAACTTCTAATGTACACAATTTCGTTGTTGCCGTACTAAAACCTTTGACTTGAATGAAATTTAAATATTTTATCGAAAGTAAATTTTTTTGAAAATTTCGGATTAATTTGTTTTAAATTGAATAAGCAGATTAATTTGTTTTAAATTATCAATTGCCATTACAAATGATACATCAGAGCTATGTTATGCTTCTGTTGGTAAAATAATTGTTAAAGCTTTGAATAATTTTACATTTCACATATTAGTGGCAACACGACAGCATCAGCAATTTAGGAGTTTGCCTAAATTTGTGGGTTAAAACAGTCGAATGGGATATTTTAGGGGTGTTATAATTTTAGGGTTATTTTCAGATTACAGATTACGTTCACATCAAAGCGTAGTAAAGCAAAGCGAAGCAAACTGTTGGGCCACTCTTGTCTTCTTACACTCTGACAATTTGACATGTTTCCATTATTTTCGTATTGGATCGACATACATTTTTGAAATATGTATGTTTAGTATACCAAATCCGTTAAAAAATATAACACAAAGCGAAATATGAATAAATACATTCTCTGATTGTACTTCGGATTCGATTTTCACGATAGATACTTATCGAATGTTAAAAAAGATGAAAGACTTGTTTTTGTTGTTTAGCAGAGCAGTTTCAAAAAAGACTTTCAGGCAACTGCTTTACCCACATGGTCGATATTGAGCGTTTGATTACTTGTTGCTGTCTGATGGTTGGCCATTAGTGATTCGACAAGTCAAACATTGAACAAATCGTTTTCATTTATAACGCGCTTTCATTAAAAACGATTAGTGGGATGTTGCACGAACCACACAGATCTCTTCATTTATTAAGTTTATGATTAGTTTTTGGGTTAATTAAGGTCGCTCATTAATTTTTTTTATTCAGATCGTCATCAATTCAATTGAAAAGCCATTTGGAAATATGTTGTATAATACGTTAAAAAAATCATATCTTTTGTAAAAAGTCTAAAATGGTGAATTCAGTTAAGATTAATAGAGCAAAATACTACGAGCACCTGAAGTCTGAGTCAGCAAGAGGCAAAAGTCATTTGGTTATTAAAATATTGAAGACCAGTTTAAATGGAATAAATCAAATCAAAACAAAATCACGTCTCGATACAAAAACAAATAAAACAAGTAAGGAAGGGCTAAGTTCGGTTGTAACCGAACATTTTTATACTTTTTTAATTTGTAAGTAAGTAAACTATAGTATATCTAGTATTATACGTTCGGTTAAGTTTGCTAAGATATCTTATATAATATATTGATTGATATCTATGGCATAAGGCCAACCGGAACTTTGAAAATCTTATTGATTTTTGATTCTATTTTTGACTATACAACATACTATTAACATAATAAAATACTCATTGAGTTACATTAAGGTACCTCACATACCGTCACCAACATATGTGGAGTAAAATGAATGAGGGCTAGGGCAAGTTTCCGCCCGATATTACTCATTTTAGGCACAAAGATGAAGCATTATAAGGAAAATACATATATGGTTTTTATTTAAATTCGAGGAGTGTACGATTCAGTAACTAGAACTGAAACGAGATGAGCGTGCACTTTCGACGCATGTATTTCTTTGGTGCGGTAACAAAAGTCCCATCATTTATGGCGTCACCTGTCTGTGTGGCATTATTAGTACCGTTAGCAGCTAAGCTTATTGAGAATAATAGTATATATAAAAAGTTTCAGTTATTTAAATAACAATTCCTATAATTTAATGCAGTAAACATTTATTTTGTAGAGGAGCGTAGACTTGTAGCGGCTAGTGTATATCATTCGACAATCAGATGTCTGCTATTAATTGCCAACTCCATTTTACGATTAATTTGAGTGTGTTGTGTACTCGCCCACGCACACTTCACGTGCCACGAGGAAAAACGACGACACACCAAGTAAAGTGTAGAGCGCTTTTGCCAACGTGCGAGAAGATAATTGTTCTGCATACACTATTTAGTAGTTGTTATTGTTGATTGCATTACACCACTTCCACCAGAGTCGTCGCTTAATCGTCAGTGTCAATTGTAATGGGAATGTGTACTATATTAGGTTGAAGGGGGGCAATAGGCAAATGACCACATCTGTCGTTGCCAAAGAGTGTGCCGACGGTCAACACTTAGCCGTCATAGTCATTTGTCACTGAAATTTGTGCTGTCAACATGATAACAAGTTGTTGCTTTTGACAGCGTTATTTGTTGCTTTAAATTTAATAGGGGGAGAAGCGCCAACAAATTCATAGTAAATTATTGTTATAAAAATTTAATTTTGTTTCCGGCTCATTTGTCAATTTGGCTCCAAAGCTACCAAAGTTCAATATTGCGAGCCATTTGTTGGATATATTTGGTAGTATGAAGCGATTTAAGAAGCGCAAGTCCATACACAGCCAGATACTTATTGTAAATACTGTAGCGCCATGTTTCTTAGGAATTTAATTCATTATCGGTGTAAGCACAAGTACGTATTTATGTTATTGTATTAAGCCCGGTTTGCTCATTTGCAATATTATTGATAGTAAAAAGTGAAATTACACACATGGCTACATTGTTACAAATATATCCCATTTGTCTCTAAAATGTTGGCACAAATGACTTTTGTGGTTTTTGCTTTTAATCGAACAACTCTGAACATGACTCCTTGGGTGAATAAAATACCAATTTGTAAGTCAACAATTTTTTAGCCAGCAACGTATGATGATTTTATCCCGAATTGCATGTTGCAACGTGTATCGGTGCATGCTCGCTTGCTTTATTGCCACAGCCCAATTATTTTGGAAAAATTATTTTGGTCCAAAATATGGGGTGGTGGGCGATCTGCTTCGCTGATAGGACTCTTCATTAAACTCGACTCGGAATATGAACAATTCAATTCACATTTTTGGTATCTAGGCTTCCGGTACATCCCGAAGTAAAATCAGATGTATGTGTTTGCTAAGGATAGTTGTACTAGAAAGTAATGCCTGCACTGTATAATAAAAAAAAAACACGATGGATAGTCTTTTGTGAATTATATTACTCTATAAAAAGCCTATACTGAATTCTTCACACGCATTATTGATCCTATATTTGCTGCCGTCCATGTACTCAACTTCCATTTATTCATTGCGTAACATAAAAAGTTAATTAGCTCTCTGATTACTTGAGACTCATCAACATGCGAGCTATCCCAGTGGGTTTCCAATCTAAAGGTTGAGTTGAAAAATTTACGCTTGGCTCTTTTATTGGACAAGGAAGATTAATTTGCAATACTTTACGTAACAGCTTTCATCTTTGTGCCGCCGCCCATTGTAAGTTACCTAATCGCACACACTGTTTGGCGATTTTGTTATAGCGACGATGGATTCAACCTCATTAAATGTCGATACATATACGAATGCAGGTATATACATATATACAAAAAACCATATTCTACCTAATGTCGCTAGGTTTAACCCAACAAAACGTCGGACTAGCACAACCTATCAGATCCATGTTGTCAGAGATGCCATCGTCGCTAAATAAATTGTAAGTAATTTTCACCGTCAGCGCCTCACATATTATACAAATACGTCGGAGGAGTAGAGAAGGTCTTCTAGCAGAGCAATAGTCATTCATTGAAAATACTTGTATTTGTATGCACCCTGTACAACGACAGACTAGACTTGCCGTTATATAGTAATTTAATTTTATTGATGCCGCTTTTATTGGTTGTTCCGGTCAACACTCGTTAAATAAATTTTTACTATATTTGCTTTCTGAATTTAAAAAGATCTAGTATATAAATCTACTCTACATATATGCACATGAATATAAAAAGGATCTTACTTGGGCAAAAAGTTTTAGTTGGTCTATTCCGGAAATAACGTCAAAATGTATTCTATGTTATTTGTTGTTCTACACGTGTGCGTTCATATGCATTTTGTTTGCTCCGCTGGCGAACTCGAAATTTTGCAGCCAGTCATCGACGGTCAAGTGGACCAATCAAACGCCTCGCAATTATTGCTCGAAGCCATACAAAAGGAGGCCTACTTCAGCACATTGTTGTTGTGGCGTCGTAAGGCGTTAGACTGCTTTTTTGACTTATCTGACTGGCGTTCGGCGAACTTCATGGCCAAACTTATCTTTGACGCGAATTATACGATTTACTTGAATGCATACTACAATCGCGCGGTGCTCAGCGTCGTGTGTTTTGACGATTTTTTGGACTTGAATCTGCTGGAGAGTATGTCTGAAAGTCTGCAACACATGCGAGAAGTTAGAATATTATTTTTGCTGAAAAATTTCACTACAGCGCAGCCAGACGTTCTGGAGGAGCTTTTCACCTTCTGCAATCAGCAGCAAATGTTGAATGTACTCGCAGTGTTTAGAGATTTTCAAGCCACCGGTCGTTTGTACTCTTTCAATCGTTTTCCGAATTTCACTGTGGAGAGTAATCAATGGCCTATAATATGCTATCCGAACCGTCTAAATGACTTGCAGGGTTATGAGTTGCGCAGCATGCCGTCACAATCCGAACCGGGCTCCATTGTTTATACAGATGATCTTGGTGAAAAGCGCAGTTCTGGTTATGTTTACCACCTAATTTCCACCTTCGCCACGAAATTGAATGCTACACTTACTTATAGGGCTCCGTTGAATGTAGGTGCGAGCATCGAAATCTCCATTCTGGCAGACCTGACCAGCAATTATGAATTGGATTTGCCAATTGGCTTGCAAATGCCTGTAGTGAACGTTTCGCTTTACGGATTTTCAGACATTGTGGAGATCGGCAACTGGATGCCAATGCTGCCACGGTCGGGTTATATTGAACGCTACCAAATCTACAAGTACATCTTTCGAAGCAATACGTTGATAATAGATGTAATGGTTTTCATTATTTTCTCATTGCTCTACATGTACATAATCAACGGTCACGAAAATAATGCGCGAGGAGTAAAACAATTCGCATATAATAACGTAATCTTCAATGATAAAATATTTCGTGGCGTTATCGGACTCTCGTTTCAGTTGCACCGTAAGCGAAATTACAAATTTTACTTGCTATATTTTTTGATTTTCCTACAGGGTCTGATATGGAGCACTGTCTATACTGCACAATTGCATGCCTTTTGCAGTCAACCACCTTCGGGAGAACAAATAAAAAGCTACGCCGATTTAAAATCTCGGGGCATACAAATTTTACTACCTCTAGAAGAGTATGAGGTACTTGAGAAATTCATGTCCGAATCCTTTATGATGAGCTACAGAGATATTTTGCTCGTTATTCCTGAGCTGCGTGATTTCTACACACTTCGAAAGAGCCTTAACACAAATTTCGCATATTCTACAAATTCGGAAATGTGGGCGATGGTCGAGCGTCAGCAACGCTACTTCTCTCAACGCCTATTTCACGTGTCCGAAGAGATACAATTCCATCGCCAAATTTTACTGGCAGTACCCTTGGCTGAGAATAGTGTCTATCGCGCCACATTCAATGCTTATTTGCTGGAGATGCAGGCGTATGGTTTCTGGCATCACTGGACTGCAATGAGTTTGTTTGAAATGATAAAGGCCGGAAAGTTGAGCTTGGAGGATTTGACTAAACCTCGCCGCATTGAGCCTCTACAATTTCGGGATCTACATTATATTTGGTTGATGTTTATTTTTGGTATTGCCATTGGAAGTCTTTGTTTCATGGCAGAAGTATTAAATGAGAAGTTTAAGCAAAACACGGCCAAAGGAATGGTCAGCACTATTTTGCATTGCTTTGGAAGGAGTTAAAGGATGGATTAGTATAGGCATACAAGAACGATATTAGAACGATTAGAAATACATATTCAATTATTTATATATATTTGAAATGCTTTTGCTCCTTCGCTGAGCCTCCACTTATACAAAATAAAAAATAATTATAAACAGATTGGTTCGACCTTAGACGATGGCTTAAGATAGAAGAGTATTAAATAGTGAAGTATTACGAATTTATTTCCGCATTTATTTTCTCACTTATAGTTTGCTCTTTAATTTGAATAAATAATGTTTCGCAATGAAAATCGCACCGCCCACACTTAAACCACATAACAGTAAAACAAGAGGTAATTGTATATCTTGGATGCTGATATTGTGGAACTCAGCCACTCAGCTCCAGCGAATAAGTCAAAAATGAGTAAAAGTCATTTCCACCAATGTGATTGCTACGTCTAGCGAACCACTTAGAACAAAATCTAATAGGACCGTTAAATGTACTATACCTGGAACTGCTGCATAGAGGTATTGCAAGGTAATATTGTGTTTTTCAGCGTGAGCATCAGGAGCCCAACATAGCCGCTCAGACGCAGTTTGCCGGCTGAATTCACATAAATTAGGCAGCGTGGTACAGTTTGTCCTGGTATACGGTTTGGGACTGGCTGACATTTATTTCAATAAAAATATTTATAAATATAGTATATAATGGAATCCTCTCATGAAATGCGGATTTGTAAGAAATGTTCTTCTTCATCCGAGCAATATCGCTACTAACAAGGTTTTATAGTATTGTTCATGGGTCGTTTCCAATAGATTAGAACTTGGATTAGTTAATGTGACAATGATATATCAATAAGGTCAACTTAAACTTATAATCGGGATACCGTGAAGACGGTTTCGCAAATGAAATGTATTGTTTTGAAAGTTTTGTTTTTTGTAAAGGTTTTAATTGCTGTTTCACTTCTAAGCACACTACACACAGCACAGCCGAGGGACTTTTATCATTGGATTTCGAGCCTACCCTGTGTTTGACATTCTCGCCAGTCTTGCATATTGGAAATGATAAATTTGCTGGCTTGTCTTTAACACATGTTTTATCTCACGCTAAATAAAATATGGCAGGAGAACTAGAGCAAGTAAATTAGTGAGTAATGCATTCTTAATTTAGGGATTGGTATCTGATTCTCTTAATGATATTTTATTTCTTTAACACCATAATATACAGACTTTATCACTTTCTAATAATATGATTACTGCCAACACCTTTTTCGACATATTCGGCCTTGTTTTTCTACAAGTGATTTAGCATTCAGCGTGCAGGTAGCGTTAACTATTGCAACAGCGAAAGCTTTCAGTGCTGAGAAGTTAAAGGATCGGTTTAATAGTAATCTTTCGGCGAGGAAATCCTAATTTTTATATTGAGCTATTCAACGTTTTAGAGGTCAAATTTCAACACAGAAGTCAGACGCGCATTAACCTAAGATTTACAGCTTCAAATTCTCCATTAGGTCTTTTGACCGATTTGAATATTTATTTCGAAAGCGACAGTAATTGGTGTCTTCGAGGATCCGTTAACAGGTACACAAAAATCTTTCTACCACTATTATCCGTTTCGTACACGGCATTGGGACCTTGAATTTATAAACAACACGTCTTATTACATTCCGTATTACCAAATAAATTTGCAGCGAAAAACTGTTATTGCATTACCGGACTAATTTATTGCCAGGAATCCTTGTTTCAGTGCATTCACTGGTCGTCAACATGCCACTCTACAATATTTACATCCTGTCTACCTTCAATTGTCTTACCCGTTGGAGTTAAGCGGCTGTAAATATCAACAGTGAAAGACTCACTTGGCTTTGATTTCAGAACATTCAAAAATATATTTCTATTAGAGGATACTAAAAATTTTTAACGCCATGGGAGGGAATCTGACACCGCGTACGCTTGTACAATACGTGAGGCGATTTGGTTAGTCCTTAAAGTTTGAGGGAAAACTACATATATTATTTAGCTCCGGCTCTCAAGTTCTTTACTTTATGGATACTGGTCAAAGCTTTAGCTGAGAACTCATAGCATTACTCCCACTTAACTAGATGTTACTGAGAACTACTGAAACGGAACTTTTTGAGCAATGGCGGACGATCGCCTTCGTAAATATGAGAGCAAGTGGTTAACTTTCGCGCAAGCAAGCTCTGAATAGAGAGCAGTTTCACGATGTAACTATAGCGGATACCGAACATCCATTCTACGTATTACTATGTGGTTAACTTTTGAGTGCCATTGTATTTATAGAGGAGTGCTATGTATTAAAATTGAAGGGAAAAGGAAAACATTAATTCTACTCGATGCCTCAAGACATGTGTGCTCTAATTTGACTAAATTTTCAGCGAAATACATGTTGAACATTCTCTTTCCGTTTTATTTTCACTTAAAATCATTTTATATACAGATTTTAATTAAGGTAACACGATCTCTCTTCATTGGTTATAAATATGTACTTGTATTGTGTATGTAGGTATATGTTATATCGAAATATAATGTATTAATTCTTCCAAAACTTTTTCTTATCAGCAAGTGCTGTGTTCGAATACTTTAATTAACGCTCCAATTATTTCTGAAGAAGACGTCCTACTTAATTTAAATAAGTTAAAACCATCTTTTAGTTAGGGCCCAGACATGATACCCTCATGCTTCCTAAAAAATAGTGCCAAATATATTTACTTGCCGTTGACAAGGATATTTAATTCCTCTGTTAAACGCGGTATATTTCCTTCAATATGGAAACAGTCATTTATAATTCCTTTGCATAAAAGTGGATTTAGATCCAACATTGAAAACTATAGAGGTTTTGCAAAACTATCAGTTATACCTAAACTTTTTGAAGCTATTATCACTGACCATTTAACCTTTTCGATTTCTCCGTTAATTTCCTCATCTCAGCATGGATTTCGTAAAGGGAAATCGACTCTAACAAACTTGATTGAATTTGTAAACCATGTATCATTGGGTTTTAGGGAAAATAGGCATTCGGATGTTATATACACAGACTTTAGCAAAGCTTTCGATAAAGTAAACCTCTCGATTCTCATACATAAACTTGATCTGCTGGGCTTTCAGCCAAGATTTCTTTAATGGATCTTTATAATAGAACACAACCAGTGATATTTGAGGATACACCTTCAGATACAATTAATGTTTCTTCAGGTCTTCCGCAAGCTAGTCATGTTGGCCTGATTCTGTTCTTGTTGTTTATTAACGATATCTCTTCAGTAATTGAATTCTCAAAAAATTTATTATACGCTGACGACGTAAAGCTTTTTAAATCATACACTTCAACTGAGGAAAGGTGTCTGTTTCAAACAGACTTAAACAATATGGTTGCATGGTGTGATAGAAATGATTTGCCATTGAATCTCAATAAATTTGAGACGATGTGCTCTTCCCGTAGATCTGCGCACCCCTCTTCTTATGTAATAAAACACCATATTCTGGAGCAAGTTTTTAACTATGTTGATTTGGGAGTTAATATGGACCCTAAGCTTAATTTTTGTCTTCATATTGACACCATGGTCTTGAAAGCAAAAGCTGTCCTCAGTTTTGTGAAACGTTGGTCTAAAGAATTTAGAGATCCGTGTATTACTAAAACACTTTATACAACTTTGGTTAGACCTATATTGGAATATGGCTCTGATGTGTGGAACCCTAACTACCAAATCAATTTTGACAAGTTAGAGTCTGTTCAAAAACAATCTTTACTTTTGCCTTAGCGCATTTCCGATGGGATTCTAGGGTAAGTTTACCTCCATACACTAGTCGTTTAAAACTTATTAATCTACCTACACTTTCTAGTCATAGGGAAATGCTTGGCATAATATTCTTAGTGAAAATCTTGAATGGAACAGTTTGCAGTTTTTTTCTCCTGTCTGAAATTAAATTTAATATCCCGATTCGCTTTTCGAGGCAGAGTAGACCTTTACTGTTAAAATCCTGTAGATCAAATTTTGAACTAAACGAGCCATTTCGCCGTATATGTCATGATTTTAATTCTTATTCCAGCACATTTGACTTATCTGACTCACTTTTCAAAATTAAAAATACTTTATTGTTTTCTCTTAATGAAGGAAAATGTAACAATTAATTATATTGTAATTATAAATCTTAGCTGTTGAAATTTTTGTTTCTGTAGCTGAGATGTTATAGATCTCAACACTTAAAAAACTCTCTTGCCTTTTCTGACTCGGCTAATTCTGCACGTATGCGGATTGCGCCCCTCGCATCGGTTGGGCGGGAGCAGTGTAACCGTTGGGTTATTATTGTTATTATTAAAAAATGGTACGAAAGGGTTAGTGTGGGTTTAAAATATTTGCGTTGGAGCAGTTGAGTTTTAAGCACTTTAGGAGTTTTGACCTTGTTGGGGAGCCTTTCGCCGTTTGAACGTAGTCTAAGATATGGTATCGCAGACAGCGCTGATTATGATCAATTATTTTCAGTTCTACAAAAAACAACGATTTTGTGAACTTGAAGGTTCAGTCAATACTTTGCTGCAAACGGTAGCAACTCGTGTGATTATAATTATAATTTTTGGGAGAATTATTACAAATGGCATTCAATTGTTATTTTTCATGTAGATAACTTACAGCTACGCCCCAAACCGGTCATACATATACTAACGGCTCATTTCCGTCGCTATTAACTCTTTCCACGATGTATATGGTATCACAAATCATTGCCATCAATCAAACAGCGTTTGCCTTCTTATGCTCTGATGACACTCCTAATAAATACTTATGTATTTATTTTCGATGAGATAACATTGTTCACCATATTAATTTCATATAAAAACTTTTCAATTAGTTCCTGTAATCCATTAGGAAATTGAAACAAATCGAAGAACAAAATTGTAGTATTGTACAGAATACAGCGATACAATAAACCCTAAATCAGTCTTATAAGCGCATTCTCTGAAAGTGTTTCGAAGCGGAAATGTTAACTGCAGGCGATATACTGCTTCTTTGCAGTTTGCCACTGCTAGTGGCTTATCCAGCTTTCAATTGGAACTCTTCAAATGACTCAAATATAAGTTATATTCTGAAGAAAATTGATTTGGAGAGGAAAATTAACACATTTATCGTTGTGGACGCCTACAACTCCGGGCCTAGCTGCCTCTGTGATGAACATATTAAAATACTCAGCACTAACACGACCGTTAAGCTATATAATCCGTTCAGCCTTAGCTCAGCTTCGAAACAGTTCATTAGCAGCGAACTGCTTTTGATTCGCTGTGTACCGAACAGTTTTTCGGCTGAGCTTTTGGAATCAATGCTCAATGTCCTTCAAAATAGGCGAAATGTTCGAATACTTTTCATTTGGAATGAGGAGTATACCGACGCATCGAGTGAGAAGCTTATACAGTTGCAGAAACAGCAACAGCTGCTCTTCAAATATTGCGCTGATATGCGTCTGCTCAATGTAATTGCCATATACCGGGACTACTTGAAAGATGGACATTTCTACACATTCAGCTATTTTCCAGAGTTTCATCTTGAACGGAAAACATTGGATGAGGCTTGCTTCCCAAACCGCATAAAGGACTTAAAAGGCATTGCTTTACGAACTCTGTCTGATCAGTTGGAGCCTTGGAGTATTATGTGGCGCGATCGTAATGCCAACATACAGATTAGTGGCTTTTTTACTAAAATTTTGCGAGAGTTTGCTAAACGGAATAACGCCACACTTTCCTATCCATTGCCGGTGGAAATGGGTGTCTTTGTAGAATTAGGAATTTGGGTAGCTCTCTTACAAAATGATACGATCGACATAGTTACTGGAATCGCGATTGCGGGCTATTCAAACAACTCTTTTGACGTAAGCGCAGCTGTACTGGCAGTGGATTGGACAATTATGCTACCTCTACCTTCACGAATACCCGATAGTGAAATCTTTGTGTTTCTTCTCAATTCAGTGCTGGGCCTATTAATACTCAGTCTACTCTTTATATTCTCTTCCGTATTCACCTTTGAGAGTTTGATTTTGGAACGCCGAACGTCGACCGAAAGTTTTCTCTTTTTCCTTTGGACACTCACCAACGTAGTACTTCGAGGAATAATTGGTCAACCGTCGTACGTTCGAGTTGAACTTTCAGTAAGATTATTGAAACGCTTCTTATATATATTTCTTTTTTTAAGTGGAATTTTTATGAGTACATTTATATCTGCAAGTCTTCAATCATATCTGACTAGCAGTCTCCGCTATCCGCGTATAAACGATTTCGAAGAGCTGTACCACTCGGGAGTAAAAATAAAAATTAGCAAATATGAGTATAACATGCTTCCCTTATATTTCGACGTACAAAATCTTAAAGAGTTAGAAATAATACTGGAAGTTGTGCCCTCATTTGACGAAATTCAACGACAGCGTATAATACTGGATCCACGGTATGCTTTCACAATACTCAGTCCAATGTGGTCTGTCATGATCAAGTATCAGTCTCATTTGCGGCAACCACTTTTTTATGTGAATGAAGAAATATATATGAGTAAGGCTATTCCGATGGCGATACCAATGCAGAAGAATTCAATTTTCCGCGAAGCGCTCAATAATATGATCAATGAAATCCAAAGCGTGGGATTGTTGGACTTATGGACTTCCCAAGCGTACGACGATATGGTGGCGGCAAAAAAACTGAACATCACTAATCCAGCAAACGATGTGAGAAGTGAAATATTGGAGTTGAGTAGCTTCTACTGGTTGTGGTGGTTATATGGCGTTGGTGTGAGTCTGTCAATTCTGATGTTCTTTGCTGAACTTTGGTGTTATGACAGAGCGGTAAAGAAGAATTTGGCTAAACAGAAAAGTGCAGAGCGAATAATCATCAACCGACGTGACATCTCATAACTTGACTAATTTTGGATACTTTTTGCACTAATCAAAGATTAAGAAATTCTTGAATTCTTTTGCGATAATATTATAAATGTTTGTTGAAAAATAATTGAAATAAAAACATATAAAATTGACAAAGGGATTTTTTGTAGTCTAAGGCTAAAGATAAGAAAAGGCGTGGTACCACTTCGACTAAATATGATACTGCTTACTAGAGACAATCTTTAAGCAGTGAAAAATTGAGCTTGAGGCGGTGTCTGCACGGGCATATTCCTAACACTTACCATATATCTGATTACGAGATTGCACATGGAAGAAAACTAACCCAATAAAGAAATAATTCGAGCTTTCGTCGTATTGTTTACTTAAATTGTTAAATAATAGAAAGGTACTCCAAACCTCCAAATTCTTTTATTTTATTTTTCTCAATGAAATTTTTGTTTATTATTGAGATATATTATAAATAACCTATATAATTGGGTTGAATGCATGTATGGGAATGTTATGAGGATGAACATAAATCAACTGACTTCAATTTTTTCGCCTGCCGTCCTACCGCTCTTCTTCTCGACATCTTTTGGTCATTTTGTGCCATGTTTATTGTTCTTTTGTAATATCAAAGTTCTGTAAAAAATATTAGGGTAGGTATTTGCTCATTCCAATACCATAGAGCAACCAAAACCTGTAAAAGTCCTCCAAATCTAATTTTGGATTTCGCACACTCTCCGTCTGTATTCTCATACACCTGCCTCTTCAAAAGATCAGTCAGTCCGACCGAATGTATCTGTTTATCATTATATTGAAAGCTTCATTGTAAATTGAGTGGCTTTGTATTGGCATAACCATCGGTATTCCCTTAATTAGATAAAGTTGTTTGCTCATATAGGAAAGCGGTTGTGACAGATACGTCTGATATCTAGCCAAGGTATCGCACAGATTACTGAATTCCCGCACAAATCTAGCCAAAAACCCACCAATCTCTATGCCATCATTACGATTGCGCAACACAAGGCTCCAGGGCTCCAACTGATCGAGAGCTATTCGTATGGCGACACCTTCTAAGTCCTTTATGCGGTTTGGGAAGAAATCCTCATCCAATGTTTTCCGTTCAAGATGAAACTCCGGAAAATAGCTGAATGTGTAAAAGTATTCGTCTTTCAAGTAGTCTCGGTATATGGCGATCTCGATGCGTCAGTGTACTTATCATTCCAAATAAACAGTATGCGAGCATTGAGTTTGTTTTTACGGCATTGGGTCCAACAACTCGTGGGGAAAGCTCTCCGGTAGACAGCGCATCAAAAGCTTTTCTTCATTTAAACATTTAAAGGAGCTCGAACATTGGCTATATGTCTGCATTAATTTAACGTTATTATTAGCTCGGTATTATGGTCTCGTCGCAAATGCAGCTCTGTCTGGTGTTATAGGTGTTAACAATGACGAATGCGTCAATTTTACTAGGATTCGAACCATTTATTTGATGCAGAAGATTCCAGAAAATTGATGGGTAATCAGTAATTAGTAAAAAATTACAAATTAGCACAAATCGATTAACTGTTAACATTATTTTGAGCATTTGATCTGTGTGCTTAGAGTGCGTCAATGAGACTAAATGGCAACTCGAAAGTGTTCATATTTATGCATTTACTATAACAACTCGAAGGAACTGAAAGAAAAAAATTTCAAGTTCGAGCTTAAGTCCCCCGCACATTAGTTAAAGGCATTTTGACTTAATCTTTTTATTGCCAATTGATTTACCCCACAACCATATGAGTTCACTTGCAGATTAAACAGATTATCACTAAAATTCAGAGTTAATGTTATTGGAATTATCTCAAATATAATGGTTTTGTCGTTGTGTTTGTCAAGACAGTTGTTGTATTATTGGCTCCCTCTTCGCCGTACACGGTATGGTCACGAACACAAAATAAAAGTGTGAGCTTTCCTTACCCTAACCGGATGTAAATCAAATGTTGAAAGTTTGAGCAAATTGGTTCAAAGCTCCCCCATAGGCAAACAGTTGTGAATACCATTTTAAATAGGAGTTTCTGCCTAGAAAATATCCGTTGGTTCCGCCCGAATTTTAGCTCTCCTTCAAATATAATATATTTCCTTTTTACACGATTCCCATAATGTTCTTCTGCTTTGCTCTAAATGGTTTTGCGAGTACATCGTATTTTTGATATTATTAACGCCAGGTATATAAATACTCAATAATTGTTTTTTATTATACTTTTTCACCTAATCGAATTGGAAGTGGTTTCTTTTCCGTGTGTTCTCTACTAATGATATGTTATTACAAAATCTTTGGACTTCTTGCAGCTAACTGACTAGAATTTGAGTCCGATGAATCGATACTGAACTAATTTACCGTTGATGTGCCGATGATGGTTAACAGCTTTCGAATTGATTTTTGTGTCATTCAGTAAAAGGATTTTATCCAAATGTGGTGCACCTGCAAAATACTGTGGATACTTGCGGCTCTCTTTCATGCATCCAACGCACATCCAATAATAGAAGAAGATGAAAATGTGAACTTCGCTAATTTCTCTAAGCTCATTGAGAAAATTCGCTTGGAGCGTGGAATCGAAACGGTGGTAGTATTTGAGGCCTTTCACGGTCAGCAATCCTGTTTGGGTGATGACACACTGCGCTCACTTCAGCGGACAAATATTACCGTTATACTGCTGAGTACCACAACCAGTTGCCAGCTGCAAGGTGCCGATATCAACAGCGAATTGCTGGTTGCGCGTTGCGTCACTGAGCCGATCCAACCACATCTGTTGGATATGATGGTCAGATGTCTCGGAGTAATGCGCGATGTGCGCGTTCTCTTCGTATGGAACGCCAATTACGTACAAGCCTCGCCGGGAAGGCGCAACGAGCTGAGGCAGCAAACGCGGAAACTTTTCGTGTATTGCGCAAGCACGAAGATGCTAAATGTTATAAGCGTGTACAATGATTTCGAATCCGATGGCCACTACTACACCTACAGCTACTTTCCGAGTTTTCATTTAGAACGCAAAAAGCTAGAGGACTCCTGCTTTCCCAATCGTTTAAAGAATATGCAAGGCGCCGCATTACGCACGCTTCCCGACCAAAATGAGCCGAGGTCAATTGTGTGGCGCGATCGTTGGGGTCATCTTCAAATAGGTGGCTATATGGCTAAAGTAATTGAGACCTTTGCTTGTCACCATAATGCAACAATCAGTTACCCCAAATTGCTCGTGCCGGACGTCACCTATGAGTACGATGTGGTATTCAGTATGTTGCAAAACGAAACGATCGATTTTTTGATGGGGTTGATCGCAATTGGTTGGAGGTTGAATGCGTCTCAACTATCAACGCCGGTTATTTCTATGTTTTGGGCAGCGATGTTACCGCTTCCACCGACACGCCCAATAAGGGACATCTATGTGTTCATATTTAAATCGGTTATCGGCATTATTCTATTGCTTTTGTTGCTGAGTTTCTCTTGTCTGCTTACTTGCGAGAGCATACGTTGGCGCCACCATCGTCGTACATGCAGAAACACGTTTGGACTCTTTCTCTTCACTCTTACAAATACCACATTGCGCAGCATGCTAGGTCAACCCACACACATACACATGCCACCCGCATTCACGAAGCGCTTCATCTGTATTTTACTATTTCTGGCCGGTATTTATGTAAGCACCACCAGCACCAGCTATTTGCAAACATATCTCACAAGCAGCCCCAAACTTCCGCGGGTCAACACATTTGACGAGTTGTTTGATGTGCCGATACGCATTAAAATTTCCTTAACCGAATACAATGCCCTGATAGATTTTGTTGGTCTCCGATTTTTACAGAAGTACGAGAGTGTATTCCTGATCACAACATCCACAAATGATTACTATTATCAGCGTAAAACTCTGAACACCAATTTTGGATATTCCGTTCCCCAATCGTTGTGGAAGACGTTCGTGGAGTTTCAAAGAAAATATAATGTAAACTTGTTTTACATTAGCGATAATATGGTTTTGGCTAAAAACATACCAATGGGCATACCCATGAGCCCACATTCCATATATCGAGGAAAACTAAATGTGCTGATCGAAAATTTAAAAAGTGCCGGCCTCGTGCAGTATTGGGAAAACCTGGCTTATGGTGATATGGTGGCAGCGGGAAAGCTCAATGTAACGATTTCGATGCCTTCTAATCTGGAGCATAGTTTAACCTTGGGGGATCTATATTGGATATGGTGGTTGTATGGTGTAGGAATGAGTTTGGCGTTTGGGATTTTTCTCGTGGAGCAGGGCGTTGGAAAAAAACGATATCGTTTGTCTTTATCGAAAGTTCACAATAGGTTCCCATCACAATAAATGCACATCTATTATATACCGATGGGCCGATATTACTCAATTTAAGGAGGGAATTATATTATGCTAAGCGAAATATTTCAGATTTATTATATCAGAGAAACAAAATTAAAGGCAAGAATATAATATATCAATTTATTGAACTAAGCTATTCCAAGCTAGAATAGGCTCACTTAATTTCACTGATATACCAAAATATATTGTATAAATAAAACTTAATGGATGAAGATTCTCATATTCAATAAACGGAGGCGCACAAAACATAAGGTCCGATTTCAGATAATTTGTGGTCAAACCACATCAAGAATACTATTTTTGCTAAATTTTATTTCTCACTTTTGATTACTTATGGTATTCAATATGGCGTTCTATGGTAAGTGGGTGTGAAAAATTAGAACGATGTTTGTGCAAATAGGTCTAGTAGGTATGAGATTTCAGCTAAAAGTTACTGTTCAGAAATGCTTCACATGTAAGTCTGCTTTGTCTAACGCATGATCAAATTTAAAGTTTAACCGAACTTTAAAGTGCGCAAAAATCTGGAACTTGTTTCGCTGGTAAGTTAACCCTGTCATTGTTTTATGAAGGTCGTAAGAACTGCAATTATTTGTGGAATCGGCAGTTATAACAATGTTTGATTGTTGATAGATATATGTATATAATTATTGGTATATAAGTAAATGCAAGTGTGATTCAGATACCTCAATTATGCAGTACTTAGAAACGCACATATATAAATATATATATGACCAACAGAAACGACATTATTTTCCATTTTTTCACTTCATTTAAATTGTTTCCTCATGTCTTTTCTTTTAATCGCTGTTAAAAGATAGTCTAATTAGAAAGATATTTGAAGCAGCAGTGGCTCGATAGCTATCGAAGGCGAATTGTACCATATACAAAAGCAATTTTTTTTTTATGGCATAATTCTACGAAAGTTATTAATAAAGATCAAAATTATAGAAAATATAAGTATTAAAGTAGCATCCACAAACCCACAGCGAATAAGCAAATGAAATAAAGCGCGTGCCAAACAAACTTTGAATGTGATGAATTTTACAAAACTGTTTCGAAGCGACCACCAAGAGGAGCGCTACGTATGTATATGTATGTAAGCAACATTCATGATGACTGAGACCAGCTAAGACAATAGAGTTAGCTGCATGAACTGTTTACGCGAGCTTAGCATTAGATAGAAGGCTTACATGCATTGATTTGATGCTCGAGCCACTGATTCGCCGCAAGTGGAGATGAAAATCAATTGGCTACAGTCACATGGTGGACAAATCGCAAGCTCGATCCATCGATCAAGTCAAGGAAATCGATAGCTTAGTGAACACAAAAACAAAAACAAAAGAAAATATTAAAAAACTATAAAAACAGCAGTCGGCCGGGTTGCTGCTGACAAATTGTAAATATCGAAAGTGAAACCGTTGCAGTCGCAGTGACGTATTGCAAGCAAACCTGTGCCACAAAAACACTTGTATTCGATGCTGATCCCCAGTAGGAAAGAATGAGTGAAGGAAATTTCGGTTTGTTCAATAAATATGTGCTTGGTTTTCATATCGGAATTCATTTTGCGAAACTCAACGCTTTGGTTGAGTTTTAAAAATACTTAAAAAGGCAGGAAGCAGGAAAGTTAGAAAATCCTGCTGAGGGTGGCAGCTAACGACTGCTTCTTAGCAAGATTAAAAGAAGCCGAAGATTAGTGCCTTAAGTTGTGTTTCACACCGTGCAAGTATAAATCCGCAATTTTTTAGGTTCAAATCAGCTAAGTTGGAGGAAGCAACCATTCAATTTCCTATAGGGTATATATCCAGACTTCGATCGTTTATAGCACATCGATTTGCAAGGGAATGCGTATAAATTCCATATTGTAAGTCATTAAAACATCAAAATCAACTCTGAAATCGGCGGCTTAACTTATTTGAGACAACTTTTTATTTTGTATAATTATATGGGCATTCAGTTCCGAGCAGTCGGCTCCAAATTTTTGCGATTGTGTATTAAAATCTGGTTCACTATTGACTCAGTTAGTGCTGAAAATAAACTAGTCCGAAAACGATCGGTTTTATTCCAATTATTCCTATCAACGGTCGATTCCGGTAATTAAGTCAAATAAAGACAGCATACAAAAATTATGAACATTTTGTTGTGGGTATTTAAGAGAACGAAAATGTTACTCCATAATTGAATCACATTTTTATGCCCTGAATAGGATATATTAGGCCAGATCATTATAGCATATAGCTGCAATACAAACTGAACAATCGAAATCAAGTGCTTCTATGGGGAGCTTTTTACTTTCACGAAATTTGGCATGAGCTATTTTCTAAGGCAACTATGTAGTCCCCGAAGAAATTTCTTAGATCGGTTCACTATAGCATATAGCTGTCATATTAACTGAACGATCGGAGTTAAGTGCTTGCATGGATGTATCTTCACAAAATTAGGCACGCGTTTTTGTTTAAGGCAACAATGTATTTTCCGAAGAAATTGTTCAGAACAGATCACAATAGGTTAAAGCTGTCATACAAATTGAATCATCGGAATCAAGTTCTTGTAAGAAACCTTTCTATTTGTGAAGGGTATTATAGCTTCGTTGCAACTGAAGATAACGTTTTTAATTTTCATTTTATTTTGAAGTACTTTTAATCTGGTGTGTTTCTGGCCGAAGTCGGATCATTGACATCTCGACAACGACAGCCAAAAGTGTCAATTTCCAATCGGTCAGCTGAACAGTTATAAAGTAGTTTATAACTCCAGGCTAAAAACACACATACATATGTATTTTTGTAGGCATAAATTCCTGTACTTTCTTAGCGCTAATACTATTCTGCTTTGATTCGCTCGCAAAAGCCGATACAGCTGCAGTTGTCGCCTCTTTATACTACAGTCAAACCTGGTTGAGAGAGAGTTCAAGGGACAACTTTCGTTGTAGATTTACGTGAGTACCTGCCGGCGACGGCCTTACCTCACGGTGTTCAAAAACACAACGTATCAATACAATGCGTTGATCAGCGCCCCAAACAATACGAGTTTTTTGCAAGTATTTATTTGGATACCAGTGGCAGTGTGTCTGGGTCCACACTACCATCTTGGTGTGATTCGAGGCCGACCTAAAACCTCTTCCGTTTTCGGGTACGGCACCCAGTTACTTGTGTAACTCCTTTTTTCGAACTGAAAATTCAGTTCTTCCAGCATTTAGGTTTAAACCACAGCCACCACGATACTCCCAAAGGGCCGAACCCAATGAGCAGATTGAACAGAAGTCCAAGGGCTTTCTGCTCCCCGTGGTACCGGAAAGTCTCCGGTCAGACTGCGTAGCCTAAACTACTGCCAGTTGAGCTCCCCATTACTCAAATGACTGGTGACATTTGTCGCTTGAACTTCAAATGTCTTTTTATTCGCTTTTTTCATTTAAAGTGTTTCTAATATCAGTTCAAGCTGAGTATTATAGCACTATCACTCCACATACTATGCTGATATTACTGTGCAAAGAATATAATAACAGTCATAGTGCATATTGGCTTTTAGTCGCCTTTTACGACAGGCATGCCTTGCCGCGGGCATATTCTATCCTCTGCCCGCAGGGGTAGTTCAAGGGACAGTAATTTTTATCTCGCTTATGGAGATTTCTTACTAAAACGACAACACGTTGACTTTTCGTTTAGACATTATAAGTTGTTGTAAGAGCTGTACTATTTGTTGCAAATGATTTTTATGAACTGCAGTGAGCATGACAAATAAGTTAATACAGTTAAATATTATTTCTTTGAATTATACATATATATTATTTCTGAGAATTATTCTCACTTATAGAGTTTCCTCGCATACCCAGTTCTCTCCTACTCAGGTTTGACTGTATTTCTGTTATCGTCACTCTCATTTCACTTTAGGCGGCATTTTGCAACTCTTTCGGCTCAGTTTTTTTTATTACTTGGGTGAGTAGTAATAAATATGAAAAGTAAAAACACATACAGATGAGTATACATACTTACGTATGAATACATACAACAGCGGGCAGCAGCCGGAATGCTATTACATCGTTAATCCCGTTAAGTCATCGCACTCGCTCATGATAAAATACAGTTTTTACGAATGACCAAGCTTTACTGTCCATTCGAATGCCCGTCTGTGTGTGTGTGTGCGAATCATAATTCCTTTGCTGTTGGCAAGTAGTGTTGCCGATTATCGTATAATTTGATGTCGTCGCTTATATTAAGTGTCTGCATATACTCGAATGTTATTGTTGTCTTTATCGCATTCCACTGCCGCTCCACTTGCCGCCAGATTTGCATATTTAAATGAAAAGAAACTGGTGGTTTGGCATCTCGTCATTGTCAACCTCACAGATTTTACAATATCAATGTGCTAAGTGGCTTGATTATCAGCAATTTAATATTATACAATATCCATTGTGAGTTATGTAATTCACTTTTGGGGTTTTGTTAGTTATCTAATGAAAAAAAAACTCCTCTCATAACTTTGCAAACAACAAACATACATACCAGCAATTGTATGGTGTGTGGATGGTAAAGTGTTCGGATGTCCATTCAATTAAGGAGATACTACCGTACCTCCGGTATTCATTTTTCATTGATTGTTTCTTACTGAAGAAGTCATTAAATAGCACTCTCACTTACATGAGCAATTCTTATGGACAATGTTTCTACTGAATGCTAATCGCTGGACTATTTATTTGGACTGTGCCATATATAGTTCTTGCATATGGTTCATACAGTCAGAGAGAAGAAAAATCTTTTCTGTGCACTCAAAGTGGGCTTTAAAATCCGGTTGTTTTGGATCTCCAAGTTTTAGCAGTATGCTAACCAGATTTACGATATTTAATCGGTCCATTGTTAGAGAGCTTTAATCTTTCCCTCAGTACATTCCCTATTGTACAAAGACAAGGGGGTTTTGAAGCCTAGAATACCTACATATATGCAATAAATTTGTCTTATGTAGATTCAATATATACAAGTATATGTTATTCTTAACGAAGACTACTAAAGCAAGAAGGCCATTAGGATCGAACTTTTAACTCTGATCTGATGGTTCACTAGAAAAATAATTTCTGGCGGGGGTGCTGATTGCTGAAGCAAATGGAGCGGAAACCTGAAATACTGAAAAAAATGTGTGTCACGTATTTGGAAAACAGAATCCGGATAACGCAAGCTGGGGACATTCTTATTCTGTAGCAAAATTTGTTGTCATTTTTTTGTATTTGCAATTTTAAAACGATTGCGTATTTTCGTTTTTGCTTTATGGAAGGCGGCTCAGCTGTATTGACTGAGTGGAGGGAGACCATTCCAAGATGCTGGTCTCTCCGAGCAAACTGCAATACATTACAACAAATCAATATGATCACGCATACAAACGTACATATATTCAGTACGTTTGAGTCGCACATGCACCTATTTTGGTGCGAGCGTATGAGCGCGGTCGTCCTCCGGTTAAATGTAAGTCATGAAGTTGGACCGAATGGTAAATTGGCACTGTATTTGTTTTGTTAACATTTTGGCCCAACTCTTAGTTGCTACTCCATTCGGCTGTGCGCTCAGCGTAGCTAATCCGCCATCTAAAATCAAATGAAAGTAAAATGTTGTATATTTGAACCCATTAAAAAGTGGTCGAGCTGCTGTCTGGCTGTTGTTGTAATTACGAGGTCCAACATGGAAGATAATGTGAATTACGTGTAATGGAGTGAACTTGCGTGACATGAGTGCATCAATTCGTCGAGATTAATGGGATCCATTTGCAAGCAACAGTTAGTAAAATCATTTCCAAGTGAATAAAGACACAGTTTTACAACCAAAGAAGACAGACTGTGTATTGCTTATAAACTGTTACTACATTGAAGAACTTATTGACCTAGTCTAAAAATAATATTAACTTGCATGGAGTCGTTGTCCAATTTTGCGGCTATTTTCTGATAAATTCTATGATGCAACTAGGCAGAATAGTAGTAAATGTACAGTTGTCGCCAGGCAGTTGAGCCGCTGGTTGGGCACTCTTGATTCATATCCCCACTAGAGAGTTTTGGCGTTTGGTCGACAGTAAGGTACTCTACCTGAGAGTTGGTTATGGTATATATTGAATTAAAATACCTCTTCAATGGCCATAACATTTTCCAAAGGTATGGTCAAATATCGTAACATGAACCTAATGACCTTTCTGGCACTCGCATAGCAGCATGTCAACAGCAGCGTAAGCGTTGCATTCGAAAAACATTTCTACAAGAGAACCACTCAGATATGCCAAGCACTCCTCAGCAGCAGAGCAGTTTCAGCGTTGTGGTAGGTTTTAGTGTACGAGTACTTGGTAAAACCAACTTTGTCTTTGCAATGGTGAATTTGCGCGCAACCTGCTCATTTGCGAGGCAAGCAGCCGCGGTGGCCAGTGCGAGCGCCGGCGCTCAAACGCTTCAACGGCGCGATTATTAACACTTTTACTTGCGCACTCGCCACAGTTTCGAAGAGTCAACGTTTGTTATTGTTGTTGCTACACATTTACTTTACTTGGCTTCCCTTTGCCGCTCGCGTTGCGCTTCGTAGGCGGGAGGGAATTCAACAAGCGCCAGCCATTCCATCAGCTCTTCAGCTCCACTTCTCTCGGCTCATAGAAAACTGGACTCAACACACTGAATGGCCGTCTCGACCGCGCTGTCAGCAATGATGGTGACGCCGGGTAAGCGCATGCACAACCGCCGTTGTTGCGCTTTCTTCGTCTTCTTTTTACCGCGATTTTGCTGTTGTGTTTCGCTTTTGTCTTTTCGCCACTTCTTGTGGACTTTACTTGTCTGCTGGAGAGCGTCTTTTTTGGCGCTTTGATGGTGATGGCGATGGTGCAGCGGTGTCGTCGTGCTAGCCGAAAAAGAAGCAACCATTGTCGCATTGGCCGCCTCACTGAAATTTCAATTCCGTCGAATTCAGTTCAACGTTAACCATAACGTCGTACGGTTCGGTAGTGCGCGTGAAACCCTCCAACGTTCGAGTGACAGTCGTCTGCCGCACACACATACACACTTACGGATATTGCAACATATTTATTTGTGCGCAGTATAAATACAATAAATCGCTAGCCATTCACACACATGCAAACAAACTCTGCATTGGCTTACGAAAAGGACATTCGCGTGTTGTTTTTGTATTTATTGTTTATTTTGGTTTCTTGTGTTAAAGATACTTGGTGTTTCTGCGTAAGTAAACTGCCTGTGTTTTGATGTGAAACGGATTAATTTGACTTACTACATGATAATTGGAATGCCTGCGTTTAATTTATGTTTGCACCCAAGTGAAGTCCAGTGAAACTTTCTTCGCGCCAGTGCAAACTTACTTTGGCATGAAAAAATTGTTCCAAATCAAACTTATGCTAAGAAGATACTAATTAACAGTAAAGTGTGTACGGTTATTTAAATTACAGCTTTTAACTTTTTTTGCTTCACTTTCTTTTGTTTGCTGAGTGTAATTGAAATTAAATCTTTTATTTACTTTCCGTTGGAAAAAAATATCTTAGCTTAATACAACAACATTTTTATAATAGATATTTGACGCACCGTTTATTTGCTGCTACGCCTGGAGTTAACTGTTTCGCCCGCAGACATGAGGATTGCACTTGTGCTGGTAAGTTAAAAAGCTGCGAAAGAGCGATATATATACATATATATTATATATGTGTGCATTAATATCAAAATTATTATATTTATTTTCAAAACACCTTCAACTGAAAAAGACTTAAGAAAAAACCTTGATATTTCTTGAAAGTAAAGTCCGTCTCAGATGCAGTTTTAGAACTGAAAAACAGAAAATAGGTTTCATTACTTTCGTGGCGGGTTTAAAGTATAAAAACAGCACCAGTATCGAGATGATAAATTCGCTTGGCAAATGTCATTACTAACCACTTCATTAGAGCCAATTTACACCGTTTTGTCTTAACTAATATTCTTGAACTATAAACTGCACACTAAAAAAGTTATAAAATTTACCTCGCTTTTCTTAGAATTGAATACTTTATAAATAGTAAGTAGGGCATTTCTTTTGCAGCCATAAATAGATGGCATTCAAATCGTAATCATAATGGTAAAAGGTTCCCAAATCCACTTAAATGTGTGTGCCAGTGCTAGTTTGAGTGTGTGTGTGTCCATAAAACGACACTGATTAATTGCCACTTGAGCTAATGAAGTACCAACCTGTGCATCTAATAACAGTAATTATGCCCGCAATGGCACACTCACATGCACATTCTCAAATGGCTTGTTTCCAAATACATACTCGTATATATAACATGTATGTATATGGTATATTTATATGCGAGTCTTCGCTACTGTGCACTTATACTTATGTTACATATTTAACCGCTATATCAAAAGAAATGAACGAATGTATTTACACAAAGCGACTGAGGTGTTGCATGTGTGAAATCGCTTCCGGCAAAAATGAAAGGGAAACCGGAAGAGTGTGAGCACTGGATGATGGCACAGAACCTAAGTAAGTAGATATATGTATAACTGGCAGTAAGTAAAAGTACTTTGCGATTTGCTCAAGATAGTAAATACTATGCGTGTCTTGACTCCTCTTACTTTGTTAGGTGCTTATTTATGCTTGTTGTTGGCGACGACTAATATATTGCGCTAGACTAGGGATACATACGGGTGTTTTGTGTATGTAAAAGCGATTGTAGGCAGTGAGATATATTGAAGAAGTTAAGCATAAACACCGTGGAAATGTAGAGACTATGAGTGAAGTTCAATGGCTAATAAAATTAGATTCATATCCTCAATACTCTCCAAAAAATAGAGGGATGCGTAACGATTTCCAACCTTTATTCTCAGAAAATTAAGTCTAATTAGACAAACACCTCGATTCTGTACACTTGTCATTTTGATCAAATGAAAAGCCATGAAAGTTGAATATGTCAAGTGCACAGGGGTGTAATTTAAAGTAACAGCTTCTGTTGACGACGCCTGAAGTAAAGTGCAATGCCCTAAGTAACAATAACTTAAAGATTACGATCTCCATTTCAAGGAGATTGTGCTGTTGCGATTACTAAACAAATTCTAACCAAATTTGATTTCTGGGCATGTGATTTGATGGGCGCCGCGTACAACAGTTGAGTTTTGAGTATATTTGCTCAGTAAATATTGAAGCAAACAACTGTGAAGAAAGTAATTACGCGTGTGTGTTTGTAGATATTTGCAGCAAGCATTGGCGTATTTGTCAACATATCAACTTACTGCGTAAATGCGACAGTAGCGTCCTACTGTCTGGCCACATATTTGCTGTAGCGCGTCATTACTTAACATTTTATTGCAAATTGATGGCAAAGCTTTGTAACTGATATGACAACAACTCGGGGCTGTTGCAAGTCGGTTGTCGAGGCGCTGGAACCTGAGATGACGGCAACAGGTGTAGAGAAGTGGAGGCAACCACAGACAAATCAACTCTGCGCAATGCAATTCTGCGAAATGCGAAAACTTCGAAAAAAAGCATGAGCACATAACAAAAACGAAAAGTAAGAAAAACATTGAGTTATTTGTGCCAGCATTCACTCACTTCCGTTTTTCGATTTGCATGCAGGGCGTGCAGTCAGGCTGGTGGCATAATTTGGCGCTACACACACGCATGCATACTGTAATATTATATGTTTGTGTATGCAAATAATCCGGGTAAAAATGTTAAGCCGAAGCCCTCAAAATCGCATCTACATCGCTTTCTACACATCACCAAAAACGCAAAAGAAAACATTTTATAATAACAATAAATACAACGAGACACAATCGAAGAGCTTCAACACACAAACATACTTGTAAATTATTACAAATTCACTTGCTGACCGCGCCGAGTTGATGCTTGATTGGTGCTTTGCATGCCGAGTGAATATTAAAATGCGCTTTTCGTTACTCATTTTCGGTTTAGCGGCTGACTCGAAAGGCAAAACGGGGATTCAACGAGACAAAAGTAGCTTCAGGCGCATTTATGCGAACCGCTGATTTCAGACTATTTAAATGCGAACTTCTTTGAAGAATACTCAAGGAAATCAAAAGGTGTTGTAGAAAAGACATATTTTTGCACGCACTGGTAGATATATGAATTTCCAATTGAAAAATTCGACCTGTGGTCAGGACAAAATTAGTGGAAGAATATACTTGCTAGAATTGATCTCGTGCATAATTCAACGCTGATTTGCTATATAGAAAAAATTATTGCTGAAGAAGTTTGTAAGTGGATTAACAGTTGTTAAGTTAAAGCAATAAGACACTGTAATCTATGCTAATCACGTGCACTCTACAAATAACCCTAATAAATCAAAAATATGTTTAGAAATCACTTTCTTTTGTTGGCCTGAAAAGCGCATGAAGGTTAAAATTTTTTATTATTTTTACTTCTACACATACATGCACACATTAGGTATGGGCACATAATGAGCGGTGAAATTGCTCGCTTCCGCAGAAAAACTGATACCGACAGTTTATTGAAGCATGCAAAGACTTTGATTGACAAGGCTTTGGGGCCAAAAAGCGCTGAGGCTTCCAGCAATATAACTGTCTGCATGCATGAGTGTACCAAAAATGGGAATTTTCGACAAAAATTTTCAAGATGGAATATAATTTAAGTTCTTTTTTTATTTCTGCTTTTTGTAAAATGAGTAAATAGTATTGTGGTTGCGCCAAACTATATCAATATTAATCTGATATATATGTTAAAATCACAACTGGTCCGTTTATAAGTTTAACAAGCTTAGCAGTGCGTAGTAGGATCTATAAAATGATTACCGATCTTTCGTCATTTCTAACCCTCAAGCATATCGCTTAAAGCTGAAGCTTATCGCTTGCTCTACATCTGTCCCGCCTCGTTTGGCTGGTATTTCAACACTTTCATTGCAATTACTTACCTCGAAGACACCGCGCGCTGCCCCCCCTCACTCAGCAGCGCTATCAATCAGTCGTTGCTCTGTCAAAAGCGGCGACAATTGTAGAGCTAATGGGCAATCAATGGTCTGTCAAGCTTCTTCATTCGCTGTCTCCATTGTTCTATCAGTAACAACCTTCACATTGTTGACGCATTATGAAGGTTTCCAGGTCATTTGTAAACAAATTGTTTTCTTCTTTCCAATGAAAGAAGCCATTGTCACTTGGCAAAGAAAGAAGACTGTAGCAAAAATATCATTTTAGTATAAAAGACGAATATTCGAAGAATCAATTTGCTGGAATTCGCCACCATTTGTTTATGTTTCGGCTTTGGTAGTATTTTGCAACAGATTTCATTGCTTCTACCTTAGTTGGTTTATTTGTGTTAATTGTGTGTCGTTGTGTCTATTAAAATTCACTTGTCGTCTCTTTAGCCTTGTATGTTTTATTTACGCTCGCCGACTCGCCAACTATTAGCTGTTCATTGTTGTTGCTAAGTAATTGGGGCCATCGTTTGCTTTTAATTTCGGCGATTGGCCTGTATGAAATTGACTTTCTGTGCATGTATGTGTGTATTGATGGCGAAGCGTTTAATGCAGACGGTACAGATATGCACACATTGTTGTTTTTGCAATGCCGATTTGCAGTGACCGTGAGACATTGTTACTGCATTTGCACATCTCTTGCGGTTTACAAGTGGGTCTTCACACACACACACTCACGAATACAAATAAAAATACACTTTTTGTAGATGTATGCATGAAAATCACTCTTCTGTGGTCGCTTTGTGAGTAATGATGTGTTTAATAAATAAATAAATGTGTTGAACAAGTCTGAATTCAAAAGACTTAAGACGCGAACTTCTATTAATTTCACTGAATTGCCATTTATAAAGTGCCGATAAATTATTATAGCAAGCTACTTGGCTCTTTTCGTTCAGATAAATTAGTATTAAAAATTTTAAGTTGAAGTGAAGTTAACGCGTACACAAACTGGCAAGATTGGCGGTCATAAAAAGCGAGCCCAAGGAACCAAAGAAAAATTTTCCTCCATGATATATCGAAATAGGCTTTGAGTCACAAAACATTGATGACCATTTTAGTCAAAATCAAACCGCCTTGGGACTCGTCTTTCATTATTATAATTTTAGTTATGGACAAAAATTGTTTAACATAACCATTCAAAATAAAAAAAATATAAGAAATTGTTTTCAGTATAATTTAAGGAGTCTAATTAAGAATTAAAATATTTTTCAAAGAAATTTTGTTATTATGCTCTTATTTCCTCCTGCACATTCGCATTTCGTGAATGAAATTGAAATTTGGACAGTCCATTTTAGCAACGAGTTTATGTAATCTTGAACTTTCATGCCACACAAGAGCACAACAACATTTGCAGCACAAAAATGGACACCAAAGTGAAGCTAACATACGAGACACAAACCGGCTGCAGCCATTCGCTCGTCGCTTGGCCATAAGGCCGTCCGCGCATATTTTCACATCACACACACAGCATGCTTCACCCTTGGCAACCGCTTTGACAGCCAGCTGCACTTGTTATGCCAAAAATGGGAGCTTTGCACGCGATTTAGATCAGCTGGAAGCACATTAAGAAACACAAGTGCCACTGCAAGTTGGGTACGAGGCAAATGTAAAGGTCAATGAGAGCGCCAAATCGTGTAATGGGTGCCATTTAGCTGTGAAATAAAAATGAAAA